GCGCCGCCGCGGAGCGAGGCATGCTGGGAGTCGTAGTTCGGCGGCGGTGGTGGCGCGCAGGCGCGGTCGGGGCTGCCCGGTGGCGGTCGCCATGGCAACGCTTCGGTAGCGCGGCCCGCGGGCTGCCTCGCTCCGGCATTTTAGTATAGTTATTCAACTAAATCCTCGTTAGCGAGGGGTTAGTATTAAATAATGATCTAGTCTGATGTCTCTGTGGGAGGCCGTTCACTGCACTGCCCCATTGGAAGCCTGACAGCTTTACTTAACTGCAATACTAATTTATTTTTCAACACCCTCAGATATAAATAAATAAATAAATAAATAAATGACCTTTAGATTAAGTAGCAATAAAGATGCGAGGTTTGTCTGGAGTTAGCGTTGCTCATTAAATTCTGTAAGATTTGCCACATTATTATGCAACGCTGACGTCCCGAAGCTGAAGGGACAATTTTCTGCTTTGGTTGGCTGGTTGTAGCAAGCTTTGTCTCATTTCGTGGTGTTTTTACTGAGGACTCTTTCCTTACTGACAGGAAAATTAAATACCAGGGAAAAAGGAACCTAGAAATGCTTACACTATAAAAACGTAAGCGGACTTTCATAGCCTGCCCAACGAAGGCGACCGTTTTCCTGCGACTCCCTTGTTTTTCGGGACTTTTATATTGTTCTGTTCCTTATCCCAGCGTTACTCCCGCTGACACGCCCGAATTTCACCTGGCGGAAGATCTGGTTTCCAGCACAAAAGGCAAGGGTGACACGAACCGCTACGCCGTCCTGCCCTCCGTTTTAACGGCACGGCAGGAAAATGAACGAGCTGCAGGCTTTGCTCAACGACAGCCTGATCAGGACGAAGCACGTGGAAAACGCGGCCGTCATCAACATAGGCGAAGGAAACGTCTGCGCGTCCACCTTTGGCTTTAACGTAAGAGATCAGAGGGCGTCCTGGGGAGCGAGAGCGGAGGTGGAAACTCGGGGAAGGCGGAGCGCAAAGCGACCGCAAGGGCCGGGAGCGCGGCGCTCTGCCAGGCGCGCCCGGTCTTGGGGGCTCAACGATTCCGTCTGCATTAGTGAACTCGATGTACAGAGGTCTGTTCTCTGGCCCCGAGACCTGCTGTTTAGCCACGGCCTGCGTCCGTACTATATCCTCAAAACAGAGTGGCTGTACCGAACTGCCTGCGGGGAATGGTCCTGGCCCACTCTTCATTGCCAAACTGGGCCAAGGAGTTGTTTGTAAAAGTACTTGCTGGCCCAGGCCAAAGCTATACCTGGGACTGTTAATAACGGTACCCAGAACCGTTCCCAGTTTCATTTTTCATTTTCTGGCAGGGGTGTTGTTCATCTGTTTTCACTGTGGGTCAGCTGATAATCGGAGAGGAATAGCAGCACTTCTGTTCTTACCCTACGACACGGCAAAGCACACGTGCGCTCTCTGACACCCTCTGAACTCCCTTGGGGTTCAGAAACGCCCCCCCCACACACACCAGTCATTCATCTCTAGGTCGTTGGAAGATACCACTTGCTTTCGTAATCCCTATGACACCAGCTTTCAGGCATTCCCATGCAGTTTGTACAGGGCTATGTATTGCTACCCTTGGGATACTCTGAAGAAGGTGTTGAGAAGAGAAAGCATTTGTTAAGCTGTTCCCATCCCTGGGGTTAGATTCTCAGAAGAGGAAATGGTCATCAATCCCCTAGGCAATAATGAAATAGTCTTTAATATGTAAATGATCTTTAATATATAACACAGCTTTCAGAGGTTTCAGCCTGCTGGCAGTTCAGCAAGGCACGTTACACGCTGAGGTCTAGAACAAAGTCCTCTGCTGGTGTACATTGTGACAAGCTCCACTGACTTGAAAGAATTTCAGGCCAGAAGGGATCACTGGATCATCTCATCCAGCCAGCTGTATATAAATCTGTCATTTCATTGACTCGGTTACACATAAGCCGAGCCCATTCACACCAATGAGCTCTCGGCTTTGTGACAGTCTGAGTCAGCTTGAAATGGGGTCCTGGTGCCTGTGTACACCGCTCCGTTGAGATGTGAGGATCTGGCCTCCTGGAATTGGTAAAAGTTACACTTCCCTGTAAGAGATTAAGAGTATTTGAAATTGGCACCCTTGTGGCTCTGCGCAGGCCCAGGGGAAGGCAGAGTCCTGCACTATAATAATGCCTTTAAACTGAAGGGTCCAGTTGCCACTGGGTGTATCGCTTACTCAGAGAAATGTCACTGACTAATGGAACTATTCAGATAGTAATCACAGCCTAAGCGGCGTGTTTCAGCTGAGACACTAAAAATACAGTGTAGACACTGTATCTCACTGTACAGAGACTAGGAGTCCAGTTTCAAAGCCAGGCAGATTTTTTTTCCCTTTACTTTAATATATCACAATTGTAGTTAATCATAGTTAATCATTATAGTTCAGTTAACTATCAAAGAAAGTGGGAGGGTGGAATTGTGTTCATGACTGCAAGGGCATATATTGTTGGTCCGTAACACTGTACTGTATAAACACAGGTGCCCCAAGAGAATGCTTTAAACCTTATCCATGCTTTCTACAAGAACTTACTGCAAGTGAGAAGGGAAGGGCTCTACTTCAAGGAGAAGTACTACAGATGTGTCCGAGCAGATGAGCATTCCATCTATCTTCAAAATGTACGTTGGCAAGAGCTACCGCAGTCCTGAGAAACGTGTTGGGAGAGAATTCCTATTTTCTTCCCTCCTTGCCTGGTTACGTGAATATCTTAACACAAGCGGCAATCCTTCACGTGTTCCTTTCTTTCTTTTGATACCACCTACCCAGTAGGCGTGGAATGCAATCAGTGCAGAATGCAAAAATTGTCGGCTATATAATACAAATGAGATAGGTGACACCATTCAATTCAAGTTAATCAGATTACTTTTTTTTTTATGAAGCCAGGGAAGAATATTTCACCCACACTTTCCCTGGCACAATCATGTGCCTTTAGAGTAAGCAAAACGTTCAAGCTGCTTAGTATGAGTTCTCTCTTTTCCAGCTATGTGCAAAAGCAGGATAAAATGCTCAGGGGGTACAAGTTTGTGGTGACATCAGTAGCCAGATTTCAGTGGACCACTCACCACCTATCATTCAGTATTTGAATAATAAATACACCCAATTCAGTGTTACTGAGGTCGTCTTAATTCTACCTCTCCCCAGTAAATCCACCCTTGAAATGAGCAAAGTAACTGGCAGAAGAGGCTGAGCAACTCTTAAATTTGGATCCTTTTTCAGAAAATCTAGTACTTTTCAATGGCTTTTTTCCATTCATTATTACAGATTAGTGAGGTACTTTGGCAGGTAGGGTTCATAAAACACTGAGGATGCTTTCATGTAAATACTAGAATTATTTTATTTGCCTTTAACCATGCAATTAGCCCAAATTGTAAAGCAGTGTGTACGTATATATATATATTTTTGAACTTTGTAATTTTACACTGATTTTCTTCATTATCTAGCCAGACGGAGGCTTGATAGTTGTGAAGACAAATACTTTCATCCTGGTTGCTACTTACAGAACGGGCATGTATCCCAGTGTGTGTGTTGAAGCTGTGGAGAAACTAGGTAAGAGAAGTGCGTGTGTCTGCGTCTGCATGCCAGCAGCTCATTGATTAGCTCTGCCCCTGCAGACAGGTTCAGGCATTAATCTGACAAACTATGAAATCCTGAAAATCTGTGAAATTGAATACACATATAGATTATTGCTGCATGGCTAAACCCCCTCCAGATGTCATGTCCCACCGGGCTACGTACGCATGCTCCAAAGCCTCTGCAGGTATGAACACGTCACAGAACTCTTTCCTTGGCCTTTCTGGCACATTCCCTGGGACAAGTTTTCTGTTAGCTACCCTCAACCAAAATGGGACCTTGCACTCACACTGACTTGATCCCCTGTAATTAACGCTCATGTAATCCACCCAGTGTGGTAAGGACACTGCCTCAGAGCATCAGCTTTGATACGCTTGTTCACAGTTTGCTTCCTCAAAGACACACGAGCTCTTTAAGGGTTTCAAACTTTCTCTCTCTACCTTGCCTGTACAAAAAAGTTGGAGTCTTCTTTCCTAGGTGTGAATCTTGAGACACCGTGAAGCTTGTTTCCTCTTTTTTTGTCGTGTCTCACCGTTATAAAGTGCCTCTTCTCTAAAACAGTGCCCGTTTCTTTCCCTCTTCTGCCCAAGTTTCCACTGTCTATGTGAGTCCTCTTAAGTTCCTCTCTTGGACTCAGTAGTTTTAAAGAGCTAGTACTAATATCTAAGTCTGCTTCCCTATTTGGGAATGTTGCAGAACCCAGCCCTTTGCAGATAAGTTGCAAAATTGCAACTTGCACGTCAAGTGTAGTTTTCCCATTGTGTGGAGGTGCTAGCAAGGATTGATACGTAATGGAGCTAGATAGCTCACTGTGGTAACATGTAGCTGACACCTTGTCAAGGCTTTAATCATTTTATCATATCAGTTAGACAGATAAAATACAGAAGGGCAGATTACCAGAACAGCCTTGATTTTCTCTGTGGAGACAGTTATTTCTAAGGGATATTTTGTAGACCACTAAGCCCTGCCTTCACCTCTGGATATGCCCATTTCCTTCACTGAAAATGCATGAAACTCCAGGGCCACTGTGCTCCTGGCTTTTATTCCTCATTTAGGTTTCTAAAAGCAAATGGAATTATTTCAGGTTTTGCAGCATAGTCATAGTTTTGGAGTTTAGTCTGGAATGAGCTATGAGACTCTCAGTAATAAATTCATCACACCTTTTAAAAAGGCTTTTATAATTCAAAAAGCTGCAATCAAAAGCAGGATTTTTAAAGGCTATAATGCAGGTTTTAAAAAGAGCTTGTCTTCTGGAAGCGCAGAAGCCTGTCGTTGCCTAGTTTCATCTATGCTCACTGCCAGGCTGGCAGAGTCTGGCCTCCATTACAACCCTTCCACTTCCTCACCCTTCACAGCCCCTGCACTTTGTGTAACCCAAATGTGACCGATTGCAGATGGGCCAGGAGAAGAGGGAAATGGATTCCCCTATTTTGGATCTTTCCTATATTTCACTCTGCCTCAAGGATCAGAGTACCTCAGGCTGTTTTATGGTATGTTCTGCTTTCACTAGTTCTCGGCCAGGGTTTTTCTCCGTGGCTCGTAGCAGGTTCAGCACAGAGCCATTGTGGCAGCACTGCGCTGCCTAGAGAGCCTGATTTTCTTGTGCCCTGGACACAATTCTGCTTCATGGTCTCTGTCAGATTCTTACTAGCTTCTTTGCTGCCCCGGAAGGAAGGGAGAAAGTGTGAAGTTGGGAGACTGCAAGAAATGCCAGCGGTTGCAAAATCCTATAACAATTGACACACAAATCATCCTGTCTTGCAAATAGTCGCGTTGCCTGTAGTGGGCTAGTGTTCCTGAATAAAGTCTAAGGTCTGTTTTCAGGGTCACATTTTCAGAGGTTTTGATAATGTGTATTTTTTGGAGTTTAGTCTTGCTGTTCTGGATGATTTCTTTGGGCAGAGAAAACAAAATGAGATTGACTTTTCTTTGCATCTCACAGGAGATTTCTGCAAATGATTTATGCTTAAAGTGCTCACTGTTTATTCTGTAGAACAGATAAGACCTCATTAATATAGGTACTGGTATTGTTAATGTTCAGCTAGAAATGCTGCTGTCCATTCAATTGCAACATGATCTGCAACGGGTTTGAACTTGAAAAATGCATCTCCATTAACAGCAAATGTGTGTTTGATTTCTGTCATTATTGATTTTTTGCTTTTTATGTTGTTGTAGCGGAGTACTTTAGGGAGAAGGGTAGCTGAATCAACAGAAAAATTAAACTTCATCAAGCTCATAAGGACTGTTCACTAGGAAATCAAGTACAGAAGTTTGAAGTGTTATCAAATTCAAGCAAGAAACTGTCTGCTGTCTTACAACATCCCGACTGCTGAGCAAAGCCTCTAGTGGGGGGAATCAGCTAAAATCCTACTGGCTTTTTGTGGGGGTTAAGGTTCTTTTTCTGTTTTTCCAATAGCACTTGAAAGTACACTACGCATAAGAGGACTACCCTAAGTATATCTGCTAAGTTTCTTAGTAGAATTGAGAGTGATGTCCTCAGGACAGTTGGTTTAAGATATTTTTCTTAAGTTTTCATATGTTGTCTTGTAGCCTATTTCCAGAAAAGAAAATTAGGAATCTCCCTAAGCAGGGACAGTTCTCTCATAGCATTTCTCTCAGCTACGCACAGGCTCACAAACCCAGGGGACTAAGGAAATTGTTGTATGAACAAATTTTCAGATTGCCCTGCGTACCTTTGGATGTTACAAATAAAATAGTTGTTTTAAATATATCAATCTGCGTTGTCATCACCTGCTATAGAAAGATTTAGAACTGCAATGGAGTATCGAGTTCTCTCTTCCTTCTTCCTTCTTCTGAGGAAGAAGGCAGTGTTATTACCAGGCTTTAATGAGACTCTTCAAATTGCTGGACCACAAAGAATCCACATGGGAGTGAACCCATTACTGTAGAGGGGACAACTGAGGCTCTGGCTATACCAGGTGAAGAGCAGAAGGACCAGGCCTCATGATCTTTTCATCTGCAGAAATAAGTAAGGTAACTAGTTCTTGGAGTCATGTGAGAACAAGAGAATTTTTAGCTCGTTTGTTTGAAAATTAGTTTGGTTTCAAGGAAAAGCTTAAACGCCTGAATCAAAAAATCTCAAAATCAAGAGAAACAAAACCCACCGGAGAATCCCACATGTGGACAGACAGATTTATAATTTTTTTAAATATTCTGAAGTGTAATTCTTACTCTAAAATTCTCAAGAGCTGGCAACTAGGATGTGGAGAAAGGAAAGGAAGGAGAAAGGATCCTTCTTCCGCTGTGGGAAACGGCAAACCTCAACAAAGTGGTGAGATGAGGCAGCTGAAACATCAGGTGGAAATGCAACGGGCTGACAGACATGAACCAGTAAACTCTTAAGTGCTGTACTCTTGCGGGAATGAGGGCATAATAAACCCTCCAGAGGTGAATATATAGCATAAGGACTAGTAACAGCTCACATGCCCTTAATGCAATTTAAGTTAAGTCAGTCTGCACTATTCAGAGTTCAGAAATCAAAACAGCAATTAAATACTTTGCTGAGGAACACACAAATACGCACACATCCCGCAGATAGACACCGAATAGCTCTGTAAAAGCACCAGACCAACCCTCCCTGTCTCCCGTGGGGGGAGCGTTAGACCTCTACTTCGTTGTCAAAGGCAAAAAGGAGATTTCTGCCTCCATCAGTGGAATAAACCAGGTCCCTAGGGAGAAGTAATTGTGAAAGGTACTCATATTACTGACTCTGTGTGTGGTTTTCCCTCCAACATAAAGCACAGCTTCCTCCTTCCCACCCCTTTGCCTTGCTTGGGAATAGCTGATTCTAGGGGCTGAGCTTGGAGAGGAGGAAATGGGAGCAACGTGTGTTCCCAGGGCCGAGCTGGGGCTCATCCCACTGTGCACAAAGTATTGCCTTCTTTCCAGGAAAAAGGTGAGTCATAAATTGCAGCCAAGACCCAAATATCTGCTTTAAATTGGTCTTTTGGGCCGCTGCCGACAGATCTGACGGTTTGAAATAGTTGCACTTAGGGGAAACTCGGTTTTTGAAGAGGTCTGACTTTAAAATCACTATTTTCAAATAGTTTTCCTATCACTCTGAGTCTCTGGAATTTAGGGGGTAAAGCGAAAATAGGAAAGAGCAAGATTTTCCAGTCTTACTTGTACATATGTTCTGTGCATTTGAAGCGATGCAGGTATTGGTATCTTCACTATACTATTTTTTCTTATACTTTTGTGGGACTGCCTCTAACAACAAGGAAAAGCATTTATAAAAAATGTGATTTTGTGGACTGTGTTGGCAAAGGGACTATGGGGTCACTATAACACTCTAAAAAGCCCTAATTTTGCATCTTATTCTGAATTCACTGAATTTGGAAAAGTAAAGAGAATAGAAGCACATGTTATGAGATGGTATCTGGTGGGCTCTTGTTGCAGCAGAGCTGGTTTCCTATTCAATTTCTGTACTAATACAGGCAAACTTGGTGGGATTAGATTAAATGATGTAGCTGAAAACAACAGATGGATAGTTGTCAGACAGTCACCTTTCTTTATGTTAAATTTTATATTAATAATCGGTAGCAATTATTTATTCACCATAGAATAGCCCTACAGCACCACCCGGTGGGGATTGACATTCCCAAGGTCGGTCGGTCTGCATATTTAGTCTTACACCAAAAACTTGAGCGTGCACTGTTCTCGTGCAGATACCATAAGACGAGTAATTTTACAGAGGGAATTAGGGTATATCACACAGTTTGTTTACTTGACCAGAGCGTGGCTCAGAGCCTTGCCTTGCACACAGAGCAGGTCTATATCGTGTTCAGTATCAGCCCTCGAGAAATAACACAAATGTTCCCTTCGTGATCTCTTGTCTTCTCTTCCCCTTCCACCTAGCACCCCTGGGGACGGAGGGACGACTCCTCCGGATGTGATTTTGCCAGGTGGACAAACGCTTGACAATTCAGTACATCTTAACAAGTGCTTGGTGCCACAAGGGAGGAACCCGGAAACGTTGATTTTGAGGAGTTACGTGAAAGTTTCCTGCCACCGTGGCACCCGTTACTACAGCAGGTCAGGTGTACAGGGACCTCCTGCTGAGGCATGGAGGGAAAATTTCCACCATTTGCTATCTTTCATTCACGCTAACTTGCTGTTGTTCCTGGGCATTTTGGCCCAAATTGCCATCCAAGGACTGAAACAGAAAGCAACACTTGCAGGTTTCGAAGTGTGTCAAAGAAAGGATCTTCCTACTGGGGATTTTAAAATCCTGTTTGCATCTACTGTTTTAAGGGTTTGTGAGGTCTTTTGAGCACTAGGGCCCTGACTTTGCACTAAGTCCCAATAAAGGCATTTTTTTTCCTTTGCATGCTACCTTCTACAACTAACGTGAGGGGGTGGGCAGTGCACCTGGCTCTGCGCAGCGTTAGGGCCTATGACTTGATGCAATGTGATCTTTGGGGTTTATCAAATGAGTCTTGCAACAATATGTCCTGGCCCAATTTTAATGTATTTCATTGCACTGTAACTCCCCAGCTTTCACTTTCACCTTCAAACTGTTTGAGTTTGTACGATCTGTCTGCAAGTAGAGTCTGTGGAGCCCTCTGTCCTTCAGACTGAGGCTTAGCGGTGGCTGCATATCACTGTATCTTAATGCTGAACAGAGATTGTCCAGCAGCATGTAATTGCGTCTGCCTTCATGCTGTCTTTGATTTTTTTTTTTCCTAGAGAAAATGTTGGCAGTGTATTTTGATAGCCCAGGAGGCCCAGAGAATCTCTATGTGAAAGAAGTGATGAAACCACATCCAGGAGAAGGAGAAGTGCTTGTGAAGGTCTCTGCCAGTGCTCTGAATAGGGCTGATTTACTCCAGGTATGTGTACGTTAGGGGGATTTATGCACCTGAAAACTACATCAAATTTGCAAGTCCCCATCTAAAGTCTTGACAAATCTGAAAAGTTAAAAGATGTCTGGTGAGCACTGGGATGGGAGGCTTCCAAGGAAATGTTCTTAGGGTTGAAAGAAGAGATGCGTACTGAATCAGTAGATAAATGTTTCTATCTGGATCACTGTGACGCTGCAACCATGGTGCTTCTGGGTGGCGTGGAGAGGCAGCTGGCTTTTGAGAAGAGATGTAAAACTGCAGCCCCAGTCTGTCTGGATGCTTAGACCATTCATTCCTCTGGCATTCGAGATGAACATAGAAATGTTCCCTTGGCTGAAGTCCAACATGGAAAAATCGCATGGTCAAACCCTTGTCTGAGCTGCTCTAATTTGAGCTGAATGGCATGCTCTGCAATCGGAGACGATAACATCTCCCTCTCTGTTCTGTTTTGTTTTAGAGGAGAGGGAAGTACCCTCCCCCAAAAGGAGCAAGTGAGATTTTAGGCTTAGAAGCAGCTGGGATTGTGGCTGGGTTTGGACCTGGTTGCAAGGGCCGGTGGAAGATTGGCGATGCAGTAATGGCTCTGCTCTCCGGAGGTGGCCATGCAGAATATGTTACAGTACCTGAAGGCTACCTGATGCCCATTCCAAATGATATGACTTTTATTCAGGCTGCAGCCATTCCCGAAGCCTGGCTGACAGCCTTTCAATTGCTGCATTTTGTAGGTGAGAGACGTATTTGCAAATCCATCCCATCAAAACAGCTGGTCTTCATTTCTTTTATTCCATCTTCTGTTTTTTGCCTCCATCTGAATGTTGTTTGCTTTTGAAGAGCCTTTTCTCTGTCGCTCGATTCATGAAGTCTTTTCACCTATGAGGTCAGAATTAGGTGTGCCAGACCCAAATTCTGAAGCATTGGCCACAAATTGTGTATTTGCAAGGAAGAATGTGGAAGGTGATTGGCTTCTCTTTGCGTCTGTGTTTCTTGTCTTCTGAAACAATTTCCTCTAAGCCTAAACCCTGAAATAACTTACATGTTCTCCAAACTACTGAAAAATGCTATGTCAAAAAATTTGACTTCACTGCAAGGATGACCATGTAATGAATTTGTTCACTAAGATTTGTAAGACTATTGTCCTGTACTGCCTGTGGAACTATATTAGATGCCTTCTTGTACCTTGGTTCAGAAAAAAACAATTAGGTAAAATTCCCTCTTAGCTGATTTAAAACAAACATAAGCTTACATTCTTCATTTTTAAAATATGCTACCGAGATGCTAACAGTAGCACTTTCCAGCGTGTTCCTCAGTTGACAAATATCCTTTTCTACCCTCTTCAGCAGTAGTACTTGAAAGCTTCACTATTCGAAGACACGAGTACAAAGACAAACCTATCCTCACTATCCTAAATGCAGGCTCGATTTCAGGACAGGAATACACCACCTGAGGAGCACTGTGAAGCTTGCACTGTTGTTTCTTGGAGGTCTGTAGTCAATTAGGACTACGTCTCAAGGACTGTTAGGTGTCCTACTTCCAGCAGCACTCAGTGGGACACGAACAAATGCGTTAGGCTAACTGGTAGATGGTAAAACAATAGGTAGAATTGGTCCTTAAAGTTACCTAGCACTTCTGGCATTTCTCAGCTGGTGAGTGCCTGATTTCTAAGTATTAACTGAGTGTATTTTCTATTGGTGGTAGTTGACAGTCCCAGTATAGAAAGGCTGGCTGCACTCACCTAAGCACTTTGTCATAGATGCCTAGAACTGGACAGGGCTAAGCTGAAGCCATGCCGCTGAAGTCAGTAAAACAAAGTTCTGGCTGTACAGTGCTCGTTGTATTAGTTCAGGATTAGTTTCTTTTATTAAGGATATGAAGATGTCGTATTAGTCAAGACCTACTGGTCAAGGACATCTCTTTCAGCTTGCTGTTCAGTTTTGCCCCCCTTGATCATGTTTTAATCCAAGGATGATGCCAAGTGGTAATCAGTTCCCTTATGCCCTCCCTCAGGTAAAATGCAGAAGGGTGAGACAGTGTTGATCCACGCTGGAGGTAGTGGTGTTGGTATAGCAGCCATTCAGCTGGTAAGACTGGCAGAAGCTATTCCCATTGTAACAGCAGGAACTCAAGAAAAACTCAAAGCAACAGCGAACTTTGGAGCAGCTGCAGGGTTCAACTACAAGACAGAAGATTTTAGTGAAAAGGTCTTGGCATTCACCCGAGGTAAGACCCTCTAAGCGAAAGATATTATGTTGAGAACAGTCTGAATCTCCGAAAGCAACACTCAGTTTCAACCAGGAGTTTCCATCATCTTTTCAGAGAGACTGATTTTGCAGAGGCACATGACTGAGTGCAAGGTTTTCATGATTTTTCATGGTGCTGGATAGGGTTAGGAGTCCATTGTATTGAATCTGCCGTACAAGAGACATCGAGAAGAGAATGCTAGAAGACTTACACCTTCTTTTTTTTCCTCAAGAATAACAAGCTCCTGGCCAAATTCCACATAGGTTTACTAAATCCTACCTCATCTCAATGCAATGTGACATTCTACACTTCTTATCCTAACCTTCTTTTAAGTACTGTACGCTAGATTTCATCTTGGAAAATATAGATTACAACAGAGCTCTAGTTGGGCTTGCAAAAACAGACTCAAAATCGGAATAGCACTTCTTTAATAGGCATGGAGTTAGCATGGAGGGAGGTGTCACCTTTGTTAGTGAAGGAGCAGACAGGTTAGTAATGACCATATTAGCACAAGCTAATGTCCTGTTCAGCCCAGGAATGTAGCTTTCCTTAGGTTAATTGGGCTTTTTTTCTTCCCGGACTCCCTTTGGCTTTGTGTTCATTTTAGGTGTAAAAACTGTGCCTGTATTTTTGCCTCAATAAACTGAATTGTGGAAGCAAATCCTAACACTTGTCTTTTTAAGTGTTTGAATATGGGCACAAAAACGTAAGTTTTTTTACTGTTGGGAAAAAAAAAGAGCTTTCTCTTAAGCATTTGGGACATAGTTTATAATGGGGCTCTGCTTCTGTATATATATATGTATATATATATCATTCTTTTTTGTGCCTGGTTAAAAAATTATTTACAAATCATTGCTCCAAATCTTAATTTCGCTAGAATGATTTAAATAAGAACTGCAGGATTGACTCTGTACCTATAGAGAACAAGGTTTCAGTGTTGTCTGTGATTATCCTACATTTAATGTATCCAGGCTACATTTTCTAAACTCTTTTCTGTTTCCACTTGAGGTTCTGGAGCAGATATTATTTTAGATTGTGTTGGTGGCTCATACTGGGAGAAGAATCTCAACTGTCTGAGTACTGATGGCCGGTGGATTGTATATGGACTACTGAGTGGAGGTGAAGTACACGGCGATCTGTTTGAAAGGTTGCTTTCCAAAAGAGGGAGTATCCATACAAGTCTATTAAGATCGCGAGCAAAAGAGGCAAGTAACGACTATCAACAGTGTATACGGTTTGATCTTAAAATCTGTGATAGTTTTGAGCGCTTTCTTCTTTTATCTGTGCTGAAGTAGAATCTAAAGCATTATCACCAGGAAAAGCAACGCCTTGAACTGTTATTACCTACCTTCGAAAACACTGCAAAATTAAGTTATATTTTCCTTTTTCTAATCTCATCAAATGCTTCTTGTTTATAACTACTGAAATCAGAGGAATAATACCCAGGATTACGTAATACCCAGGAGTACTATACTTGAAAGATTAGTCCTAAAAGAAACAAAACTAAAAAGATCAGATAATTTGAAGTTGGGGAGGGAGGGGAGAGAAGAACCCATATTAGATCATGTAGACCCACATTTTTCTGCACAGAAACCAAGTCCACTTGGATGCCCAGAACTTATCAATGAAAATCATTTTATTTGGAAAATTCTCAGATATTACACTGAAAGACAGCTGTGTAGTGCGCTAGGATGGATTCTGCCCATGATCTAACACATAACAGTGTCAAGAGCTTTATGAACTTGAGTGTTAAATGATTCTACCCTGAGTTTACACCACTTGTCTTGGAAGAGAATTTCATCCCATGGCAATATATAACTCATCTAAACGTTTTCTTCTCCTTTGTAATTTCCACCTTGCAGCTCTTTATATGTCTGTGTCCCTCTGATAATGCCAGAAAGCTAGAGTTTCTCTGAGAATTGTGCTCATTTGGTGTGCTCTGCATAGGGACACCTCAGTGAATGAAATGATTGGGAATAATCTTCAAAATGCTCTGATTTTTCTTCAGTATAAGGAGCAGCTGGTGAAAGCCTTCACAGAAAACGTGCTGCCGTATTTCTCCGGCGGGCCCTGCCCTCGTCTCCGGCCGCTGGTGGACAGCGTTTACCCTCTGCCCAAGATTGCGGAGGCACACAGGTTCATGGAAGACAACAAGAACATTGGGAAAATTGTCATCGAAATGCCTCTTTCATCCTGATGCTGTAGTTGTCCCGGAAATAGAGTTGTTACGGATGTTTCACAAACGAGGACTAGGCCAAAGTCCGGCCGGGCGCATCTATAATAAAAAGACGCATACTAATAAAAATAATAAAAAGCTTTGGCATCTTGTCCGCAATGCGTGAGTGAAACTCAAGCCAAACTGCAGCGCCACGCACCCGTGGCCTTAGCTTTCAGTCCCTTCCCGGTGGGGTTTTTTTTCCCCGCCCCCGGGTTTTTTTCATACG